TTTAGGCATTCGTATAGCTCTGCCGTACGATTTAAGCCCTAAACTCGTTCTAGGTTCCGAGGTTGTCGCCTGATACGACGTAAACCCTCATATCTTCTAGGCAATTTGTGTGACTCTGTCACGCAAATATAAGCCCTAATTAAATAAAATTGGCAGGATAAAACACTTTAATATTTTCTTCTCAAAATTGGAGCCAAATCATAGGATAGACTGGGAAGTCACTGAGGTTCTCCTCAAGATCTGTGGCTTCCCCTAGTTTCTCTTCATTTGGATTCCTTAACAATGTTCCAGATTTGAGCTTTTCCCCTTCACACCTCTTCGTCCGATTTCGTTGTAAAGTCCTATCCTTTTGACCTCTTTGAAGACATTATTCCCTGATTTTTATCGAGAGTTTTCTTAGGTGACTTCGGTCATTTGAGATGTAATTAACTATAGGGGCTTGCCCTTATAGGGAGCTTTTCCGAACCCAGCTTAAAATAAACCCTATTTAATTATTTGTATTAAATAGGGGAACTTGTCGGCAAATAAAATGGTTTCGCAGACCCAAACGGACGTCATATCTTTCTTAGTTTATTTGATCGAGCTTCATCCTCAGGTCTTGTGTTTATTCTTCGGGGTAGATACAGGATTTGAGGTAGAGCGCTCTTTCATTTAAACTGTGAAAAATATGAGGTCAGTTTGATTTCGTATTTTTCTAAAATTATATATATATATGTAAATTAAAAAGTCCTTCCGAAGCGGGTGACGGGATTTCGATTCCGGCGACCGACAGCTTCTTACGGGCGACCCCCAAACGTAACTCCCCCCTTTTTAAACGCCGACAGAAGGACAGGGAAGCCAATCACAGCGTCCAGAAAATAAAAGGGACATTCCCGCTATCTAACGTTGAATGTTGATCCGAAAGCGATGGACTCTCCGCATTCGGAATTTCGCAAGCAAAGAAGCGGTGGGTGCAAAGTTTAGCGAACAACCTCTCATCGAAACAACGACTGTCTGGTTTCTCAGCTTTCGCTACGTCGGGACAGAGGCGTACCGCAGCCTCAAACGAACCCTAAGTTGGGATCAGCAGCTGAGCTAGGCTATTCCCCACCCCATTTCCCACAATTAGGTTAATCATTGTTTGGCTATTAATCGGGTTTAAGGTAAATTAACAAGTAATTTTGTTAGAAACGGTGGACTCCACTATGATTGGATGGTTATTTTACTTTGGAGAGTCACACCTCTTCACAAATAATTACTCCAGTCTTCCTCTTTTGTGAAGTGAAGCAAAACATCTCTTCGTTTCCTCCTGTTCGTGATAAAAGCTTCGGATGGTTCTCTTTGGGTTTAGCAGTCACGCTTTGAGTTCTTTAGTTTTCTCGAGTTAGAGGGAGGTTTCCTCAGGGCAGAGAAAGAGAAGTGCAAGGAGGAGCAGTTCCTTGCGGCAGCAGGAAGAAGAAGGAAGAAGAAGAATATTGTTCTCCCTAGGCTTCTTCTTGGTGACTTGTGGCAGAAAAGAAATTAGGTTTATTTCTCTTGTAAGTTTGTATTCTTCGGTGTATCTCGGTGTAGAGTTTTCTTCGGTGTATCTCGGTGTAGAGAGAGAGCAACAAAGAGTGAGAGATTCCTCTTGTAAGTCGAGGTGATCGAGTGATGTAAATTCCTCAAGTAGTAAAATCCTCTGCAACACCATGGACGTAGGCAATTTGCCGAACCACGTAAATTTGTGTGATCCGCTGTGTTGTTATTTTTTTGTGTGTTTTTTCTCGTTTTATTTTTCGCTTCGTCAATCGTTCTCATATTTGATTTATATATATAATTTTTCACTTCGTTGATCGTTCTGGTATATTTAGATCTCGCAACAACAACAACTGATATTAGAGCTTTGTTTCGGATCTGAGGAAGAATGATGGCTGCAGATGAAGTGAAAGTTTCAGGGATCAAAAAATTTGATGACACAGATTTTGGTTATTGGAGAATGCAGATAAAGAATTATCTTTATGGGAAGAAACTTCATATTCCGTTATTGGGGAAAAGACCTGAAAGGATGGATGAGGCTGAATAGAATTTGTTGGATCGACGAGTTCTGGAGGTTATTCGATTGACTCTATCGAGGTCTGTTGCATACATCGTCGTCAAGGAAAGAATGACTGCAGATCTCATGACAACCTTATCAGATATGAAAAGTCATCGACAAATAACAAGATGTACTTAATGACGAAGTTATTCAATTTGAAGATGGCGGAAAGTATTTCTATTGCTCAACACCTGAATGTTTTCAATACTATCACAAATCAATTATCGTCTGTGAAAATTGATTTTGATATTGAGATATGTGCACTGATCTCGTTGGCTTCATTGTCAGATAGTTGGGAAGTCATAAAGATAACAGTTAGCAGTTCTGTAGGTATTAGCAGTTCTGTAACAGTTAGCAGTTCTGTAGGTAAATCTAAATTGAAATACGATGATATTCGTGATTTGATTTGGCTGAGGAAGTTCGCAGGAAAGATTCTGACGATGTCTCAGGTTCAATTTCGGCATTGAATGTTGATTTCAGAGGGATATGACATGACAAGAACTCAAGTATAGGGAGATAAAAATCAAAGTTTAGTAAGCACAACATGTTGGAATTGTGGCAAAACTGACCACATAAAGAATAACTGCAGGAATCTTAAGAAGATGGAGAATAATAGTGTAAATGTGATATCTGAAGAATCACATGATGCACTACTGTTGACAGTTCATAGTTCTGTTGAAAACTTGATATTGAATTCAGGGGCTTTGAATATTGTAGGAAATCTACCAGAGACCACAGTTCAGGGCACTGATGGAAGTGAAGAGGAAAGTAGGTCGGGGGCACCCATTCCTATTGTTCCACAGACATATGTTGGAGAACCACAGAGCTATGAAGAAATCTTGCAAGATGAAAGTTTGAGCAAGTGGGAGCTGACAGAACTTCCACCAGGAAAGAAGACATTGCACAACAAGTGGGTGTACCATGTGAAGACTGAGTGTGATGTCAGTAAAAGGTACAAGACTAGACTTGTTGAAAAAAGCTTTCAGCAAAGACAGGATGTTGCCCATGCAGTGGGAGTTGTAAGAAGAGACAAGAGTGACCCAGAAAATAGCTTGGAGGTGCAAAACTATGTGAAGTCTGCTAATATGTTAACTGAGGGTGTTACTCTTGAGAAACTGAAGTTGTGCACAGCTTCAGTTAGTCTTCTGGAGTGAAGACAGAGGCTTTGAGTTGCAGAGATGGAGGATACATGTTGACAAAAAAGGTGACACCCCCAGTGGAGAATATAAGTTTGAGGAAGGAGATATTGCAGCATGTATACCAGTCTCCAAGTGGGAGAATTGTTAGAAACGGTGGAGCCCGGTCCACTATGGTTGGACGGTTACTTTGCTTTGGAGAGTCACACCTCTTCACAAATAATTACTCCAGTCTTCTTCTTTTGTGAAGTGAAGCAAAGCATCTCTTCGCTCCCTCCCGTTCGTGATAAAAGCTTCGGATGACTCTCCTTAAGTTTAGTAGTCACGCTTTGAGTTCTTCGGTTTCCTCGGGTTAGAAGAAAGTTTCCTCGAGGCAGAGGAAGAGAAATGCAAGGAGGAGCAGTTCCTTGCGGCAGAAGGAAGAAGGAAGAAGAAGAATATTGTTCTCCTTAGGCTTCTTCTTGGTGGCTTGTGGCAGAAGAGAAATTGAGTTTATTTCTCTTGTAAGTTGTCTTCTTCGGTGTATCTCGGTGTAGAGTTTTCTTCGGTATATCTCGGTATAGAGAGAGAAGAAGAGAGAAAGCAACGAAGAGTGAGAGATTCCTCTTGTAAGTAGAGGTGATCGAGTGGTGTAAATTCCTAAAGTAGTAAAATCCTCTACAACTTCGTAGACGTAGGCAGTTTGCCGAACCACGTAAATCTGTGTGTTTCGCTGTGTTGTTCTTTTCTGGTGTGATTTCTTTCGTTCTATTTTTCGCTTCGTCGATTGTTCTCCTGTTTGATTTATATATATTTGATTTATATATATATCATATCATATCAACTGATATATCTAGATCTCGCAACAACAATAAATTTAACAATTTATTTTCTAATTTAATATAGAATATAACGGGTGCTTACAAAGAGAGAAGTTTCAACATTATTACCCTGCCAATCCCAGCCAAAGAAACATTTTAACAAAAATGTAGTCTGACAATTGCATCTGATTTCATCCACATGTTTAATTGAGTTCATTAAACATGATTACCTTATTGGATGAAGGTTCTTCTTCTTCTATATGAATCATGAATCGCTTCTCTACCAATTTAAATTGCTCGAGAAATTCTTCATTAAAAAAAAAGAAAAGAATTTATCTAAAAAAATAATAGCTATCAATAAAATTATACCCTGCGGACAAGATCCAGGCATAAATGACGTTGAATGTCTCGACGAAGATCGGCAGGCAGAGCTTGTAAAATAGCTTCTTCATCCACTCCGCGCGTGGCAAACCATTTATATTGGACAAATCGTCTAACCCGTTCCTTCAATTCATGAGGTAGTTGTCGATGGCTCATCCAATGTTCAGTGTCGCGCCGCTTTAACCTCCATTCTTCTAGCCTCACGGTAACAGATTGCAAGTAGGTCTGCAAATATCTTAATTAGCTAATCAGTAAAATATTAGAGATAAAAACATATTTCTATAATCGCCTGAGACAAGCATAATTTAACATAAATATAAGATGCAGTACTTGAGTCATCATGAATAAATTAAAAAATGAGACAACAAAATAATTGAACTCCAATGGGTAAACCACTGAACATATACAAGTAGAATAAGTTCTAGAAATATCACATCATAGAATTCGATCTTAATACCTGCATATTTCCAATCAAATGTGCAAATAGAATGAGTCCAATAATGGCTATCAGTATACAAAAGGAAGTCTCCCCAATGAAAGTGCTTGAACCCAACCCCTGCCCAAATGTGCTGCAAAGAAAGAGCATAAAGAAATCAACTAAGGATGTATCTTTAGGAAATGTTTGTAATCAAAGGCTTGTATGTGTGTGTGCGTGCGCATATATGAAGTTACTGACTCCAACCAGCCTCCTTTGTGAGAAATCAATTAAAATAGTAACAAAATGTCTTCTAAAACTAATGGAATTAATTGACTAGAAAGCAAGGCGAGTTCTACTTCCCATACTCATCGCCTTATCATCAATGACAAGAACCGCTAGTGCTTAATTTTATAATAATTTACATTTTATGTAGCAAAATCTTCTAAGTGTGCCGAAGAATGATAAGGTGTGCCGGTTAAGCTAAATGAGCTTAGGGAAAGCTTTGATGGCCCAATTTCAATCATTCTAAATCAAAATACAAATCTACCTCTTGCTTTAAAATTGAACGAATCATAATGTTGAAGTTGATAAATCATATGAACTGATAATATTCATCACGAGAAATTTCATGATAATATTATGCCCATGTCGGCCAATCAAAGAAAATATAAAATTTGCTTTAGCTTAAATTTCTCATGGCATAGCAAACAAGGCTTCAGCGTTGATATATAAGAGCACAGATCGTCCGGTACCCCTAAGCTCTTCTATCAAATAGATGTTTAACCACTCATGTATTAGTTACACCACTCATGTATTAGTTACACGGTTTGCTCGTATGTGAGTTCCAGGAACACATATCATGGAAAAATCTAATAAATGCCAAAGCAAAATTATCAAATTATCAAAAAAAAAAAAAAGACTGAAAGACTATATCTTAAAACATGTATTGCGGTCAGCTAAGTTTCCAAAGCTTTTGCATCTCACTGAAAATATAGGGCTGTAAAAGTCAAAATGTCGAATGAAATTCATAGCAGGTAAAATACGTTATATCAAGCTTTATTACAAAAACAAATTTTCTTTCCTGAGAAGTTTGGATTTTTGTAATGGTAAGTGTATCAAACATACCTCAAATTTTGCAAGCCCCACCAAAGACTATAAAAGTACTTCCTAACAAAATTAGAGGACACAGCCCCAGTTGTCAATGCATTCTGATATATACCATATTTGAAATTGATATTGTCATCACTCGCGTTGCAATTCGCAAAAACAACAGTGTTCTTTACCCACTTTTGATCAATTTCACTTGAAAAATCACAGTCCAAAAACTTCATGTGGCATTGTGCACCTATAGTGCCGTTCTCCTTTGTGCATTCTGATTTCCAACAGGTTGTCTGGCGATCAATTGTTAGTAAATAATAAGCTGCTCCGATAACCTGCATGAATAGAAAACAAGTATTTTACTAATATTAACTCTATCAGATTTTAAAGGGGATGAAAATCAATTAGTCTATTTCTAAAGCTATTAGAGAAACAATGAAGTTATAAAAAGAGCATTGTATGTTACATGGCTAGCAATCATGTAAAGAAGTAGATTATATGCTGCTCCGGCCCAAGCAGTCTTCGTAACAACGCCAGTGGCTTTAATAATCTGATAGCTCAGAGGAAATATGAGGTACAACCTTGGAATGTACTGAAATAGAATAATCAGAGCAAGTGTGTTGTTATTGTGTTGAGGATTTGAATGCTTAACTCCGGGGATAACAGACCAGACAACGATCTGAAACAAAGCTCAGAAGAAATAGAAAAAAATCAGAGGGTTAAAGCAGGTAAGACAAATAAGTGATGAAGAATATTCAGGACAAATGAAAACTTGAAGTGCTTAGTGGATACCAATGACCATGAAACAAAATTTAAAATTGAAAGATTATTTAAGAATAATGCTTGTTTTTTAGGAGAACCATACTTCATTAATCACATATCACCCTAAACAATTACATTGAAATGCTTTGGAATAGAGCTGTGATAACCAGAGAAAAAATTTTACAGACACAAATGCTGTAAGGAGAAATTACATTACTTACAACATAAGCCAAGTCCTTGTTCAGTCGTGAAAGGACAAAAAAAATAATAATAAACAAAACTTAGTGGAAGATTTAAATACATACCATTCAATTCGAGAGGTAGAAAATCTCTCCAAAACCCTAAAGCTAAGACTCATACACAATCTCATGCATAACTCTAACCCTAAATATATTAGTCCTATTTATACTAACAGCAATAATACTAATAAAAGACTAAATTGCCCTTAGGCTAATAAAAAAAAATGCTATGATACCATTTGACATGATTCCTGGTAGAAATTGGGGCAATATTTTTTTGCAAGTACATCAAACACTCAACTCGAATACAAAGATATAACACCTAAAATTCGAGATGTAGGCTATCTCTCCTAATTCCTACAATTTAAGAAGTAGGAAATCTCTCCCAAACCCCAAGCCTAAGACTCCAAATACAATCTCATGCACAACCCTAACTCTAAACATATTAGGTCAATTTAGACTAACAACAATAATAATAATAAAAGATTAAATTGCCCTAAGGCTAATAGAAGATAAAAATTGCTCATAGGCGCCATCATAACATAATCATGTACCTTCATTTACATTACTATTTAAATATAATGAATTAATCAACCCAATTGTTGAGCTATTTCATTCCAATAATAACCTTTTCACAACCTTAGAAATTGCTTTGCTTCTCAATCAGAGCCATGAATCTAATATTTTTTTTTGCATTGGTTGGTGTTATGTCAGAAACACATTAGCAAGCCCAGCTAACCAGCAGATCCTTTAACAAATAAAACCTAAGAGAAATAAATGGAAGAAAAATTTTAAGACCAAGCAAAAATTAATTGGGAGAATGCCATCATTCACATGTTGCAAAGAACAATAATGACATGTGCAGATAAATATTGACAATAACAGGTGCAGAAATTCTTTCTAAGCATTTATTTAACTGTGCCAGTGCAGCAGATTTTGATATCAATAGCTAAAAATGTGATACCAATATAATTTCAATATGGGGCATTCACAAACATAGCACACAATTCTAATGTCTTTACATATCTCACACCTAAACTTTCATATTTACACACATTGCACTCAAATATTTAACATAACATAAAAAATAGCCCTATTACCACTTCTTAAAAGTGAATTACACCTTCTAATGCATAAAGCACCAAAATGCTACGTATGTAAATATAAAATTTTAGGTATGATGTATGTAAATACATAAGAATTGTGTGCTAGGTATGTAACTTTCCTTTTTAAATAAAGAATCTATGCAAGGATGACAGCATACCTGTGGCAAAGGCAGAGCAGCAGCCAGATCAATAAAGAAATCCGACTTCAAATATTTTTTCGCTATCAGTTTATGGTCTCTAACAAGCTCTCCTCTTCCAAAAACCCTAGAATTTGGAGCTATAAATGCTGTTCTAAACTTTATTACAATATGTAACACATAGACTATGTCAGCAAGGGACCGGAAAACAGTAACTGCAGCACTCAAACCCCAATCCATCTTCTTCACGCAAGACAAACTATCAGCATTATGAATGGAGGGCAAATAGAAGTACAGTGGATCTATGAAAAGAGCAACCAGGCTAGTTACGAGGAATATGCGATTCCATTTTACCATGATATCACTTCCTGGATCCAATGTCCATTTCTGCCATGGATCAAACACAGTTTCTTCGGGAAACACCTTGGAACCAGCAGTATTTGTCGCAATGGCATTGGTTGGTAATGTCGCTCCGTTTTTGTGAGGCTGGAGAACAGGTTTAGCTGAGATTTTCTTCTCATCGGGATAGAACCTGATTGAAAAAATTTATATTCAGAGTTTAGAAGTAGAAGGAGACAGGGTTTAAGGCTAAACAAGATAAAATAACATCAAAAATATTACTCAAACAACAGAAAATTAACAAGGAGTTTGCATGAACATAATATCTGATTTTTAAAAAAAAAACTTGTCTTCTTCTCAAGGTACAAAAGATCGGGACCAGCAAGCAATCTTGTCCGAACTGCGATTCATGAGAGGAGTAAAACCAGTCAAAAATTCAAAAAAGACAAGCAATAGATTGAAATAGCAATTTTACAAAGATTTAGAAAGAAAACAAAAACCTAGAAAGTTACAGCAAAAACCAAAAAGGAAAAGGTCAGCGATCTGCTCTGTGCCTAAACAAATTCAAGAGACTCGCCTGACAATCCTCTCCTTCCAGAGTTCCATCTCATCATCAACCTTCGTCGAAGCGAACATCATCGGAACCCCTGCGAAAAAAGACAACACCGATCTAGCACAGCTGACGAGCTACTTCTCGAATCCCCTCAGCACACAAGGTGCCGTCAATGATTCAAATTCATTACCCCAGCATCTCTGCTTGGACTACAAAAATATTTGGGGCCAGACTTCATCTCCAGTCTGGTATATCTGTGCCAATCTGCTTCTTCTTCGCTTCGTTTTTTACCGAAAAACTGATTTTTTTTCTTACTTGAATTCAAGAATAAGCACCAGTGGATTTCAGGTCAGGGTCTGTGATGAGCGTGAAGGTTCACGTTGACTTAAAACTTTTTTACGCTGACGTGTGGATATTTTGGATGTGTTTCATATGTCACGATTAAACTTTAATATTATTTATATAATATTTAAAATATCAATAATATTATCATTTTAATACAAAAATGTAATATTAATGTGGGGTTATCAAAATGGGTCGTTGTTTCTAAACAATTTGTGCTTTGCTTGTTAATAAACTAGTGTTTCATTCATCCGCTAAGCAAATGAGCCGAACATTAATATTTTTTTTAGCATTCATATATAAACGAGCTGAACATGAACAAACATTTGTTCGCTTATATTCATCTCTTCTCGACTTAAAATAATTATATAT